TACTGTACACAGACAAAAACATGACGACTTTGCATTTTTTTTACCAATGTAAACAGTAAACTGTTACAAAATTTTGCTTCATCAAAGAATTGCCTTACTTTAATAAAATAATAATTGACATATATTGCTTCAAACTAAGCAAAATAAATGCTGAAAATCAGTAAAATACCATTTCTTTTCCTCGGCATTTTCTGTTTACTTTTCTAGCGCGCGAACTGGATAATTTCTGTCACAATTGGAGTGGATATATACCGTAATATACCGTCACCGTACGGTATATACCGTCACGGTACGGTATATCTGAACCCTCTTGGTTGTCAAGGTGAGTTTTGTGCATATTAAGTACAACTAGAAATGTGTCCATAGGACACGGATGCCCCCACACGCCACTGTTCTGTCAATATTATGATTCTAGGTCAAATATTTTTTGGACTACATGTGCCACAAGTTGAAAACTAAAAATCAACAAAGGGCCATAATTCTGTTAAATTTGGTCGCAGCAAAAATTCCTTCCTTTACTACCATCTACACATTAAGGTTGTTCATCCCTGGAAGTTTAAGCAAAATCTGCCATCCGGTTTAAGAGGAGTTGCATTCACAAAATTTCTACATAGTATATAGTGAAAAAATCAACAAAGGGCCATAATTCTGTTAAATTTGGTTGCAGCAAAAATTCCTTCCTTTACTACCATCTACACACTAAGGTTGTTCATCCCTGGAAGTTTAAGCAAAATCTGCCATCCGGTTTAAGAGGAGTTGCGTTCACAAAATTTCTACATAGTATATAGTGAAAAAATCAACAAAGGGCAATAATTCTGTTAAATTTGGTCGCAGCAAAAATTCCTTCCTTTACTACCATCTACACATTAAGGTTGTTCATCCCTGGAAGTTTAAGCAAAATCTGCCATCCGGTTTAAGAGGAGTTGCGTTCACAAGATTTCGCGACATACGGACAGACAGACGGACGGACGGACGGACGTTCTCACAGGACAGTAATTATGTGGCTACTCTATTGTTCTCTCTATTGTTCTTTTTAGCCACACAAAAGAAAATAGCCACATAAAAGCATTACGGAATGAATGACATCAAAGAGAAAGAACAGTTACCTATTGTCCCTCTAGCCACATAATTACTCTCCTGCGAGTGCCGACTGACGTACGGACGGACACTCGGATAGACAAGTGCAACGCTATATGCTCCCACTCTGTGGGGGCATAAAAAGTATTTTCAGGGGATTACAAATTGCAGGAAACAATTTTTTTCGCTTTCTTTGAAAAATGTAGGTAGCTAGAGTTCACTGATTGCCACATCTCCATTTATTCACATGAAAATATGGATTTTTTTCTCCATGAATAAATACTGAAATGATTTCAGACTTAAAGGACTTGTGTTTTGGAATATCAGTCATTTACTAGCCATAATAATCGGAGAATAACATAAGGTTGTTTTGTTTTTTTATGCAAGGGTTCCATAAATTTTGGATTACTTTTATCAAGTTTGACCTACAGATACTCAAAATATCTCACTGGACAGACAACTGTCCACCCTCAATCTTATTCTTTACTCGACGGACAACGGACCATCTATCTTGGTCTTATCTCATCTCACCAGAAAGATAACCGGCCATGTTACCATTTTCATATTTCACCAAACAGAAAACTGTCACCATCCATAATCTATTATTATATCTCACCAAGCACATAACTGATCTTAATACACTTGTTACTAAATATAGTAACAAAATTGCCTATGATTTCAACTGATTATGAGTGTCACGTGACCTATTATGAGTTTGCGGCCCGGGGCCGAGAACTAGTTATCAGCCCGCGGAACATGTGCACGTGCACAAACTGAAACAATGACGTCATATTTTATGTCATCAAACAGTTAAATGTAGGTTATCAGCACTCGCTTTATTTTATTATGAGAGCTTAAGCGTATTTCGTACCAATACATTTTTGTTACTATTGAAATTTGAAGAAATAATACGACAAATTGATTCCAAAAAATATAAAAATAAAACTTGCTTCTAGATTCTACTGCTTTGAACACACAAACAGTAAACATCTCTGTACAGAACAGTAGAAGTGTAGACAAGAATTTCAACGAAAGAACTTCAAAGTATTTGTTTTTGTTTTTTTTTATAAAAATGCTACTTTTAGATCTACCAAGTGTATTAAAGACATTAATACACGACAGAGTAGGGCCGGAAGGTGATAATCGGCCCTTAATGAATAATGCCCTCGGGCTGAAGCCCTCGGGGCCATTATTCATTTTGCGGGCCGATTATCACCTTCCGGCCCTACTCTGTCGTGTATTAATCTCCTAATCTGTTCCACTGCACAGATAACCATCTCACTGGTCATCCCAATAACTATCTGTCCTATATTTATATCCATGGTCTATCAAATAGAAATTTGAAAGACACTGTTATATCTAACCATAACTGCCTATGAACTAAAAATTCAAAACACTGACACAGTTTTTATGTTGTTAATCTTTTTTTTTTCATTAACACATGTAGAGACATTATATTTATACAAAATACACCAAAAAACAGCACATGTTATAATCAATATTAGATCATCCATAAAAAAGATAATACAAATGTTTATTAATATTCATACAAGTATAAACATGATATACCCAAACAGAAAATAATCATCAGAATCTTTTTTACATCACTTTTCATACAAGACATACTTTTTTGTATAATATTATTAGTAAATCAGCTTTTTTAGGTTTCTGTTGATAAACAAAAATATTGGTAACACTTTTGGATGTCTCCTAAGGCCTCTTTGACAAAACAATAAAGATGGCATCAGTGTGAGGGGAAAAATAGGAAAATCTATTTTTAGCACCAACGACCTTCACCCTGTAGACCTTTGGAGGTTCTTTAAAGTTACCGATACATCAACACCATCCGTTAAGAAATGAGAAATGGTAAGTAACTATTACAGAAACAGAAAGAGAGGCAAACTGGCAACCATATGCTCTAACAAACAATTTTCGGGGAGCATTTAAATTACAAAACATGTTCAAACTTGTGCACAATGTGTTAATTGTATATTTATCTAAATTATCAAAAATTTGTCCAGGTGTAAGAATCCTATATATCTGTCATTACATAACAATTGTTTTTTTAACTATAACAACTAATAGGAAAGAAGAAATGAGTTTTATGAATATTTTATCAATCAAATACAAAAATATAAACACATGTTATTTTGTACAAAGAAGATGCTCTTTCCTGCTCTTGACTTTGAAGGATAATTGAAGATTTGTTTAAGTTTGAAAACCCCTATACACTGTACATGTATAATAATTACAATGTTAAACATTTCTTCACAATATGTTCATACTGAATCAACATATATTCATCAGCATTTTGTATAATATTACGCAGGCTTATTTTTTCATAATGAGTAGAAATGAGGACTTTTTAACTGGAAAATATATTTTCCTACCAGGGGAATCATGATTACACCAATTATTCAATAATAAAAAAATGGAACTTTACATTTTCTCCATTCAAACAAATTAAATCTTTTTCAACACAGCAAATTTACCTCTCAACAACTCCTAACAACTTTTAATTCCTTGCTTTCATTTCTTACCCTTACATAGTGGTAATAATTTGACCATTGATTTAACACAAGAATTACTTTATTCCCATTGTACATGGCAGTTGCCTGGCATTCATCTTAAAAAGTTAATCTAAACCTGATGAATTTGGGTAATAGACATGCCAAGGTTTTGGATTTTGGAACAGTCCATTCAAAGTTTAAAGAAAAATTTCGTAAGATATAACTTTATACCCTTTAGTAAAATCCTTTAATCCAGTACAAACTAGAACTGCCACTATCATGGCGTGAATACCCCCGCATACCACTTTGTCAGAATCAACAGTGGCCATTTAGAGCTCAAGGACAACCTCCCTGCCAAATCTGAGGTTACTAAGCCAGTGCATTGCTAAGTTATGTATTCTACATGCTTCAAATGTGAAAATGTCAAAATCAATACATTGCGGACAGGACATTCTTTAGCAATTGAGAAGAAAAGCTTTTTTTTTGTCAAGGTCCCTGTGACCTTGACCTTTGACCCAGTGACCCTCAAAATCAATAGGGTCACCTTATAGTCATGATCAACATCCATGCCAAATATGAAGACTGTGGGTCAAAGGAATCTTAAGTTAATGGGTGGACAAACTTTTTGAAGTCAAAGTCCCTATGACCTTGACCTTTGATCCAGTGACCTCAAAATCAAAAGGGGTCATCTACTAATCATGACTAACCTCCATTCCAAATATGAAGACTGTGGGTCATAGGAATCTTAAGTTATTGGGTGGACAAGCTTTTTGAAGTCAAGGCCCCTGTGACCTTTGACCTGGTGACCTCAAAATCAATAGGGGTCATCTACTAATCATGACTAACCTCAATGCCAAATATGAAGACTATGGGTCAAAGGAATCTTAAGTTATTGGGCGGACAAGCTTTTTGAAGTCAAGGCCCCTGTGACCTTGACCTTTGACCTGAAAATCAATAGGGGTCATCTACTAATCATGACTTACCTCCATGCCAAATATGAAGACTGTGGGTCAAAGGAATCTTAAGTTATTGGGCGGACAAGCTTTTTGAAGTCAAGGCCCCTGTGAGCTTGACCTTTGACCTGGTAACCTCAAAATCAATAGGGGTCATCTACTAATCATGACTAACCTCCATGCCAAATATGACGACTGTAGGTCAAAGGAATCTTAAGTTATTGGGCGGACAAGCTTTTTGAAGTCAAGGCCCCTGTGACCTTGACCTTTGACCTAGTGACCTCAAAATCAATAGGGGTCATCTACTAATCATGACTAACCTACATGCCAAATATGAAGACTAAGGGTCCAAGGAATCTTAAGTTATGGGGCGGACAAGAAAAAACCGACGGACAGCCGGACGGACAAGCTGATTCCAGTATACCCCCCTTACAACTTTGTTGTGCGGGGGTATAAATATTAACTCTAGCTAAATAAGAGAACTCTTTACAACCATTTCAAGTACATTCTCAAGTCATCAAGACAGCACCTTTCAAATATATATAATATATATAGTGATATATTGTCATTAAAGCTTGATAAATGAAAACTCATTACTTTCAACTTTAAAAGTCACTTTATCACAGTCATTTATACTCCATTATAGAAATGAAATACAAAAAAAGAAAAAAAAAGAAGAAAATCCCACTTTAAAGCTGTAAGTTCTAGAATGATAAATTTAAACAACAGCACAATAGACTATTCTTAGTCCTTGACAGTTAAATACGAGCCATGCAGTATCTTATTTAAATCAATTCACAGAGGGGAGTAATTCAGTGAAAATCAATGCTACAGTTATGTCCTTGAACCAGACAGCCTGAATGACTTTCTATATGATAGTAAAACAGGGTCCGTGCAGAAATTGTAAAGAAAGGGGAAAAGTTCAAGAAAGGGAATAATACCAATGAAGATCAATGCATAATTTAATAAGTTACTTAACCTTTACCCTGCCGGGTCTTATAGTGGGCTTGTCCACCTATAATTTTTAAACAGTCCATTATCATTTTAGGGGATTTAATTGCAAATCTTTAAGGTAGACTGCCAAAATTATAGCATAGTCAGGCTGCACTGAAGGTATTAGTCTGAATTTTTAAAAACTTGCCTTGCCCTTTACAAGTGACAAAGACTTACCTGGTATAACTTGCCTACAAAATCTTAATGTAAGTTTTATTTCAATGAGTACTATATTCTTTGTATAGAGGTGTTTAAAATCAGAAGGAAAGGGTAAAAAAAATCAAAAGAATTACATTGACAGCAGATGTAGTTACTCTGCCCTAACTACAATGTATACAATATGAATAAACTAATAATTATAATAAACAATAACAATTTGCAATAATAATAAGAACTAATAAGTTTTTCAAAATTGAACATTCTACAAAAATTTAAGCTGCACTGTCGATATTTTCTGTATCTAATTGGGGGGAAAAACAACATAAACATGAATTTTAGATTATAATACGTTACCTTTGTTAAAACTGTGAAGCCCATTATTTAATAAAATTCAAATACATGTTCTTCAAGCATTTATCAAATGAATAATAAACATGAAATTGTAAAAGACTGTACAACGATCTTTCCTGTATTGCTTTGTCACAATTGGCTTGTACTTAAAGGAAATGTATTTCAAAACAAAAGTTGATGATGCACAATGGAAAAAAGTTATCAGAAAAGTAAAAAAATACCAAAAACAAAAAAACCCCAAAAACATGCACAATATCTGAAATTAATCTACAAATACTGGACAAAAAGCAGTCTTTTTTTTCTTTCTGTTGTATTCATTTATAGGGTCCTAACTGAAGGTTCCAATTCATAAAGGCAGTGCTTTACATTGTAAATTCAGTACTCTGAACAGAAATAACTTTACAAGTATTATACATTAGTGGTGCAGATATCCAGTGTTAGGAGAATGTAGTTTGGGACTATGAGGTCCCTGGTTCGGATCCAATTATGAACATTGTCCGTCAAAATAAATATACCCTGTGTTGCGTCACTGAACCCAGATGTACATGGGTACATGAGAGGCATTTAAATTTTAAATACCATAACTGAATTGAAAAAATTACGATTGCTTTTACATTAAATTTATCCTCAAAACTCTTATTATTACCTTACAAGAATTGGTATTTTCTAAAAAAGAAAAACTAAAAAAAAATAAAATAAAAAAAACACCCCCAAAATTTCAGTGCAACTATGACAGATTCTGTTCAAAAATATTACAACCAGTACTGGTAAAGCAGCACTGTTGCTTTCATACTCTGATTAAATAATATTAATATGTACAAAAAATTTAAATAAACATTGAGAAAAAACTTGACACCAGTTAAACCCTTGCCACCCTGAAGACAGTCAATCTTTAAATCTGGACAAAACCATTGACCAATTTCAGAATATGTGCTGACCAGTGCATAATGCAGACTTAAATTTCAGCCGGCACACTGGTTGCATGCCACCAGCAGGATTAGAGTTAAAGAAATATTAGTCAATTCCATATATGTTTAATAAATAAAATACTTCAAAGTAAATATTAAAATTTTAATGTCATATGACCAATTTTTACAAAAGGCATAGAGCTTCCTAGAAACAACAAATTCTTTATAAATAACTACATGTACACATAAATAATCTACTTTAATCAAATTCTGATAACCTATATTGCACTGGAAAAAAATTAATGTGCAAAAAAATTGTTCATAGCACATAGCTATCAGATTTGTGCTGTACTGTGCCAAAGTTGTATACTACTTGTTGAGTTTTAAGTCACACCAAGACTCTAATAGAAATATGTTGACATTCCAGCATTACTGGTGCAGGAAGACCTAAAGTGACTCTCTATGCACTACTTCTGGCACAACCCGACATCAGAGTTAAACCATTGACCTACCACAAGCCAGTTGGATAGCTTACTCTCTTGAGAGAATCCAAAATTGCTCGACAGGATTCGAACCTACATCAGTGAGCAGCAAGTGATTTGAAGTTAGCAACCTTAACCACTCAGCCATGAAACCAACAGGTTGTACAATTAAGACAAAACAGAAAATATTCTAATTGAAATCAATGAAGACAGAGCTTATGTAGCTGTTAGCAGTATAAAATATCATCTTGCCATTTAATCATTTGAGCACTAACTAAATTTTGAATCTCTACTACAAAAGTACAGTAAGGCCAGCCTGTGCTGTCAAATTAGACTACACTTCTGGCTGCTTAATTCAAGCACTATTAACTCTTATAGTCCCTTTATAGATGTTATCCAAAACTCGACAAATGTGGGTTTTTCCAAGCTTATCCCCCGGTGCAAACAAACCTTTAACCATTACAGTTTCATTAAGCACTACCGTTCACAAAAGATTAGTCAACCTCTTGTACTTAATGTTAAATCTGTAAAAGTTTGTTTGTACCCCTGAATTAGCTGGTAAAAAACCAACACAAACCAGAAAAGCTACAAACCCCCAGACATTGATTTTGTCCCCTCTTCTTTTTTTGGCAACAACCAATTCCTACAGCTTTGTCAATTTGGAAAACGCCTATTTTCAGTCCCTATTTTACAAAAAAAAATTTTTTTTAAAAATCGGTGCCAGACAAGTAAATCAATTTTCAATGAAAAAACTCCAACTTACGGTAAATGAACTTACTTATAAAATGTATAAATGTATTCACAACAAAAGTGACTTTTTTCAAGTTTCATGTATAATACGACAAAATCTACTGAATTTATCTTCATACAGATCTACTCATAGTAACGGCCATTTCAGCATTTATGTCATGCAATGTTACATGGTATTTTATTATTTTCATAGAAAATTAAAATAAACCTTGAGTCATGCTGCTTTAAGATAGGGTGCAGGTTGAGGGAATTATTGTTTCTTAAAATGTTCAATAACAAAATGTTCATATTCAATATCTGTTATTCATCTGTCAACATGAATTATTCATTTGTTAATATATCTAATTCATGTGCCTATATTTCTTACTAATCTTTCAACATACATTATTCATCTGTCAGTGCGTGTTATTCATCTGTCAATATGTATAAACCATTTTTCAATATTCCTTACTCATTTTTTTCAACATGTATTATTCATCGGTCAGTATATATAATTCATCTCTCAGTATATGTTATTCATCTGTCAATACATATTATTAATTTTTCATTTTTTCAATATGTATTATTCATTTTTTTCAATATTGTATTATTCATGTGTAACTCCATGTACTGTTATAGCACTTGGTGTATGACTAGACCATATTATAACTGTTATATTATTGATTGTAATCATGTATCCACACACAAATCTCTGTCAAACGTTTCACGTCTGTTTCGCCGTCTGTTCTGTGGTTAATTTTCGAACAAATCTCTTTGGATCATAATTTACAAGTCTTTGACCAACTAAATATCTGGAAATAGACCAACAAAAGTATGTTTTTTAAATTAATCATATTCATAATTTGTCTATTTAAAAAAAATTCTGCTTAGTGCATACATAGGATTGGTACAAAATCTAACCACAAACAATGAAAATGACTTTTTTAACTGCTTAGCTGTAAAGAAAATATCATTTCATTTTTATCCTAATTCACATACAATTACAGTTAATGTACAAATAAGTTCTTTGAATAATATGAAGTTCAAACACTCATTCTTTCAGCAGTAAATGATAAAAAAAATTAACCTCTTAATTAGGTTTTACGTTATAATTAATAAAACTATCAATAATATGTTTCACAATGACATTGTCAAGGTCATATGACATCATTCCATCTATACAGGAGAAGGACCTTAGATGCCCTGCATACATTACATCATCTACAAGCAAGTATCTCAGAAGAACCATCAACCTTCTTTAATCTAACCAAATAATTATATGACATAAATGTCATAAATGTTGTGTCTCTGGCTGAATTCAAATCAGTAACTTAGCAAGGCAGGCCATGTAAAGCAAGTAATATAAACAAATTTGCCACAAAGGCCTCTAAAATTCGCATCTCTACGAAGATTTAACAAAAAAATATACATACTTGTCATTTTTAATATGTTCATAAAGCCTTTTAAACTGTCTAGCTTGGAATACACACACAAACACCATAACAACACACGCTAACAGGAATGGGTAAATTCTTCGTAATACAAAATTCTGTACATCAAAATCAAAACCTGCAAAAATAGGGTCAAATATGTTAACAATTTAATGTCATTCAATAATTTTTTAGGTTACTTAATGTATACATGTATTTGTTAAAATTTTGAAAGCTAGTAACCACAACAACTTTCCCCAGCGGTTTTTCTCATTTAATTGGAATGAGGCCTTAATGCTAAAATTGCTAATTTGAGAAGTAATAAAGCTGGTGTAAGTTCTCAATTTTGGTAAAACTGCAGATTAAAAAAAAAAATCCATTGGGAAAGGCTTTTTTAGGCCTCCATATATGACAAAAGGTCTCTATAATACAAGGTGAAAAATCCCTGTGCCAATACAACCAGTGTAGAGTCAGACCAGCTTGTGCATCCATGCAGTCTTACTGTACTTTATACTAAACAGCTAATAACAAATATAGAAACCCCTCTTACAAATAATGGACAGATCCAAAATAAAACCACAGCCAGTCCATCATTTGAATTCAACAGGGCGATTACAAAATATTGACTAATATTTGGATGATATAAAATGCTGTAATTGATCAATGTTTGATAGCCCTGGCTCTGTTTGATTGACAATTGACTACATTAGTAGAACATCAGTAATCATATCAATTTTATTTTGAGCTTTACTCAAGTATTGCCTGAAAACTTGTAAATTTTTCACCATAATTATAATTTCAACTAGAAATATGTCCATAGGACACAGATGCCCCCACAAATCATTGCTTTGTCAACCTATAGATGTTCAGCGGGACAGATGTACCAGAGCTAAAACATATTGATGCATTTCTGAACAGATTTTTTTATATATCATAATCTCATATATAAGATTGCTAATCTACCTTTACTTATGACAATTACTTTTGTCTGTGTAGTTTTTTTTAGAGCAAACAGATATCAAACCTTAGTACAAGATTTGTCGTCATGTTTTTTTAAACTAAACCATGCATCCTGATTATATACAGTACAAGTGATCTATACATACCTAATGCTGGAACAAGACTTCTTGCTATAACATATGGCACAGATAACGACATGCCTAGCACACCAATGACAGGAAAACATAACTTGTAAAGAATAAATTTGAGATTCATGTTGCGTAATCCATCGTTATACACCTGTAATATAGTATAAATCTGTTATACACCTGTAATTAAGCATAAATCTTTGACAACCATATTTCCTCATATAACACCAGTTAGTTCCAGGAAATTGACTTGAGAGTGATTAATATAAGTTGCAAGTACATTTTTTACAAGAATTTACACAAATATGTTTAAACTAATAAAATATTTTAGAAGTAAATAAGAAAAGAAAGTAGAACAACCCCTCAAAATACTGGAATAAGTTTATGTTACCTTATTTATCAACTGGTTTTCGTCAAACAATGACCTTCATCAGGATAATACAATTTCAATATAAACACACACAAAAAGTGTAATTAATAAAACATTTGATAGACAAGAACATCTATGACTTCTTTTTATACTTTACAATGTTGCCTACACATTGCTAAGAATAAAATATAGGGAGAAAGCAGGGAAGACAATTTAGCGCCTCATGACCTTGACCCAATTCAACTACCAAGAATTAATGTCTCACCTGCTCAATGACACGTTTGAGCCACCATTGTGGACCCATCATTGTAACAGCGCATATAATTTTAGTATGTAAAACACCTAATGCCCAGTCCTGAAACAGAATTTAATATACATAATATAAATTCATATCAATATATTTAATTACATATATTTGATTGGTATGTGTTTTTCTTAAGAATATTGGATAGTGCTCAATAACTTTGGAATTGAAGTAACAAGAGCTGTAATTACAGGTAATAAATTTGTGAAACCATTGACTGACACTATGATCAATGGCACCATTTTATGAATTATTTTCTTTTTGTACAGAGATTTTAACGGGATCATGTATTGTATTGTACAAACTGTGAAATCCCCCTAGCACTATCCACTCATTTTCTAAAAGGCATGCCAACTCTTTAATAAAAACAACTGTATGTAAAAACATACCTGAACAGCTTTAAGACATGAATATTTGCCCATTTTAAACAAGGTCACAATGGCCGTAGACAATTCATTTTAACGATTAAGAACTAATTGGCAACAAAAGTACCTAAATCCTATGATTGTGAAGTTTGGGGAATTATAATCAATACAAGCCTACATTATATCCTGGGCCATAAAACTTGCTGCTTTTGTGCAATGGCCTATTCCAGCTATGACTTTGGACTTTTTCATTAATAGTTTTGGGTATTTTAATCAGCCAGCAGTACAGAGTTTGATTAGACTGCAAGGATGTGCACCCTAGACTGACTTATTTCCAGTAGCATATGTCAGTTATTATGGCAATAACAGAGAAAGGGTAAATCTATGATAACTAAAATGTCACAGGAACTCTTGGAATAACAGTCTGCAGCACTACTGACTGAACTATTAGATATTTACACATTTTCTCCCCTGTAAGTGAAATGTTCTACACTTTCATATTCAAAGACAAACATGGATGTTTTGTCAACTTGAAATAAGATGTTACTGTACAAATACATGTGTACATACCTGCCAGGGGAAGAAGACTGGGGTCTGATCCAGTGACACCCTCAATGGTGCTACCACTACAAGCTCAAACAACAGACCCAGTAACAATGGCACAACTCCCATCAAAATTACAGCTACAAATAGTGACTTTAATGCCTGTAATATAACCAGAATAATTATTACAAAACGTATCAATGTAAGTATCACAAACTTTTGCATAAAAGCTAAGCATGCTGCTATATATTAAGAAAAAGAAACATGTATTAACAAGCATGCACTATTGTTGCATGTTTTTTCGAATGCATATCTCGGGAAATTATGTAAAATAGCTTACTTATGTGACAGCCCCAATAGTTTCATTATCTTAATAGAGCTGTCAAATGGCATTGCACAAACATGTGAAAAGCATGAAAATTTTTATTTCTTTATACAATAAACGAAATGCCGGATTATCGATTCAAGGAATATCCTTTTTTTCATAAGCAATTAAACATGGCTGAAACTACTTCACATCTCTGCACACTAATGAAGCATCGTATACTTACCAAAATAAGCCACTGTTTAAGTTTATTGAGTATGGCCGCAGTACCCTGTGGTATCCAGTTATACAGAACTGTTCCTATCCTTAACATTAACCAACAAACGTATAATCCACACGCAGCTGTATAAAGTTCATGAATTTTAGCTTCTCCCATCCACAATGACATCAACTTTCGGCCAAAAAATACTGAAATATATAATAGTAAAGTTTTTAAAATTTCAGCATTTTTTTTAAACCCATTTAGGTCATTGATCAGAAGATTTCATTAATTCTCTTAACCATCTTGACATGTATTATGAACTTGCCCTACTATATTCAATACAGAATTGTCAACAAATTTTGGGATTCAATATGTTAGAGTACACAAAATCAAGCATTGTTAAGAGCCTGGTCGCATAGCATGGATGGGGAGGCTAGCCTGGCTCTCTATTGATCGCAAAGGCAAGTAACCACAGCAGGTTATACATGTTTTTAGAAAATTTCAGAAAGTTACTGTACAAGTGAATATTTTTACATCACAAAAGGTTTTTGAATGTCCAAAAACAGATTTTTTTCGTGCAGAAATATTTGGGAAACTACAATTTCTGGAACTCCCATCATATTACCACAACAATATATTATGAACCTTTTTTTGTTACTATTTCACATTGTGGAATATTAAATGAACATTAAATCTTTTTATATGTTGGTTTGTATTTAGCTAAATGTTATTTTTAACAGGATATATTTCCATGGTAACCGGTGCACAGGTGGATGGTAAAATAAAGAAATGCCATTGAAGACTTTAATAATTGCGAATTATTTCGATATTCACAAAAATCGCAAATATTTCCATGTCCCAAAATTAACCACTTATACAGTATTACTGATAAGACTTATTATGAGATGGACCATATATGAAGATTTGAAAACTTTATTTTGAGACTGTATATATATCAGGATTTAATGTACACTAACTAACCTGGCAGTATAAGACAAACAACACTGGCTGCAAATAATGTAAAACACATCAGTGCTACCAGCAACACGATCTGAAATAAACACACCATATAATAGGTTATAATTCAACATTGCTTAAACCACGTAATTCATCATAAATCATGCCCAAAATAATTCAACCATGTATTAATTCTTTAGACATGTCAAAAAAACACTGAGCTTAACCTTAAAATACAAAACAATGATTGCATTATGGATGTGAAATGTGGGGTAACAATAATTTATATGAGACAGAGCAATATCCTGGGCCGCAAAACATGATTTGGTATTAACTGTTTACATTAACAACATTTTTTCCACATCAGTTTGATTAATTAAACCTCCATTATGACTAAATGCTAGGTAAAAGATAGTCCTAGAACTATTCAGTAAGTAGTAGTTTCCTTATAAGGCAAAACAAGCATTGTCCACAAACTTTTTGAAACCTTGTTTGACATTTAACTAGTTAAATAAACAGTACTAGTTAAATAGAAAAGCAAGGTTTTAAGTTGCTTTAAGAATTTATAAGACAAAAAATAAAATCTTCTCAATTGACTAAAATACCGGTATACTATTTAATTATAACTTTCTCAAGATATGAAAAATAATAATGAAGCAAACATACTCTAAAATAAAAGAGTTTTGGCCTCTTGTATGATTGAAAGCCTGTTGGGCCTCCAGCCTGTAACATAGCTTGATGGGCCGCTGCAAGTCCCCCTGGCTGGCCTGGTGGAGGTACAGGATTGTTCGGGGCATTGTTACCCTGGTTACCAGCAGGTGGGGGTGGTGGACCAGCGGGAGGTGCTGCAGCATCACCTTGTATAACATTATCCTACAATATACAGTAAACATCATTTAAAAATAAATAATTAGCAATATATAAGATCAAAATATGAGCAAAATCATTAGGGACCTTTAATTTACTTTGCATTCTTTATCATAATTTTTGTGCATTTATAAATTCCTGACTAAATGACTAAGAAGCTGATCAAGCCAGTTACTGTGAATTCCCTTAATTTCGTGGGCATAAAATTGTGTGGGTTCTTAAATTTGTTGACTGTTCTTTTTTCCCCCAAAAGGTCAAATGTAAATGATATGATGCAATATAATCTTACAGGAGACAAAATGATTTTTTTTTTATCTATAATTCGTGGTTTCAGCTATCCTCGAAAACCAAGAATGTTTATTCCCCAGGAATAATAATGATTTTGTAGTAACTTACATGGTCGTCAAGCTGCACATCCCCGACAAGGTATGATCGTAGATTAAGCATCCAGGCTACACACAGGGTCCAGCCCCGCACCAAGCCCTTTAACCACATCCTAGTATGACCTTGCTCTAGCAGTGCAGGTAGAACCACTTGTAATAACAACAGTTCTAGAGATAGTTCACTGACAGGTGCATCACTGTAATACAATAAATAAGTTTCATTTAAAATATTGGAGTCAACTCTTGTCATGTAGGAAATGTTTTGGAAATAAAACAATACTTGACTATTATAACCATAAAACCTGTGTATCATAATCAGTTTTGGGAATAAAAATGTTTAACTGGTCTAGGTTTAGGGAATTTTTGAATATACAAATAAAACCTTGGCACATGTATATATGCCAGTGTTAAATTTGTTAACAACAATCCAAGAACTTAATACTATCTATTTTTATTAAAATCAGTTTTGAAAACAAAAACATCAAATCTGTCTGTCAAGTTCAATTAACTGAAACAATTTTACGTCACATTTTACGCTACAAAAGTGAAAGTAGGCTTTAAGCACGAATCTCTTGAATTTATGATGAGAGCTTAAGTGTAATAACTACAAACACAGTTTTATTGAAATCTAATTCAATCAATTTGATACATTATTTCAGAGAAAATGAAAATAAAACTTGCTTCTTGATTCAAGTTAATGTTGTATACACATAAAGGAAGCAGCCCAGATATGAATAATGCCCTCGGGCTGAAGCCCTCAGGACCAGTATTCATTTTGTGGGCCAATTATCACTTTCTGGCCCTACTCTGCCATGTATTAATCTCTTATTCTCTGTCAATATTCCAAAGATGTTTATTTTACATTTCTACGCTGTGTAGTTCTTATCAGTTCTTTTTTTTCTTAAAAATATGACATTTAATCATTATAAATATGTCTTAAACATAAATGCATCATAATCTTATAATGTGTTATACCTTGACAACATGACGTTATATGGCAGGAAACCTGGAAAAAACTTTTCTGAAAATCTCACGGCAACAAGATCATAAAAAAATGTACCAAATATGATAACAATCAACAAAAACTTCGGGGAGTCTGTACACTGGCAGATGTATCATCTGCAAAAATATGAACAATATTGTCATTTAAGTTTTGTCAGACTATATTTAATACCGTATTTGTATTAAGAAATATGAATTGCATCATAAAAATATACGATAAAACATTAAAAGAAACTATTATACCCAGAAAAATGCTTTGATTTTGGAAGTTTTAAGATTTTTTAGGGTAACTATTTCCTTACCCAAATCTTTAAAATTAATAATGGTCAATTCCATGCAGGAAAACTCCATCACATAAATTAAGAATGGCAATGGTTAAGTATTTGTTTTACATTGCACCAATACAGTATAGGAGTAGAACCATTAACTTTCTGTCAGCTAGCTGGATAGCCTCCTCACATTAAAGAATCCAAAGTACCTCAGGGGATTTGGACCCATAGGGGTGGGGAGCAAGTGTTCAATAACCTTAACCACTCTGCCTTGGACACCACGGTTAAATGAATAAAATTTCATTTAAATGATTTCACACGGAAATAAGTATAATTACAACAAAAATTGATATACATGCAGAAGAGAAAAACACAAACCTCTTGTATTGGATTAAACTCTGGATCGTTGAGGTTTCTGAGGAACCAGAGTACGCCCGGTCGGAGCACCTCCCTCAGTAACAATATAAATGAGGCGAAGTAGAATACATACACCATACCAACCAGCCAGTGGATAAACATAGATGTACCAGGTGCCACATGAAAACTTGTCTTACGATCTTTCAATGTAGCGTCAAACATGGACTGAAAATTAAAATAGTTGGTACTACAGTTTCAAGCCATTTTTTATGAAAATTAACCAATTTCTGATAGTTAAACAGTGTCCGAAGAACAGATAAAGTGATTGATCACATACCCTTGCGACACCGTAAAAATGGTATTGCATGGCCATGCATATATTTTGACATCACATCATTTTCATTTTATAAACATAGCTTTAAGACGCGCTAAATGTTATCATTATACTATAGGCGCACCTATGAAAAATGGTTCTTTATCACTTCAAACAATCTTTATTTTTGGTATGTGATAAATAGAATATTAAATTCGTGTAAGTTCATTACTAGATTTATTGCGCTCATTGAATAAAATAATATAATGCTCGACAGAGGCTCGCATGTTACAATTTTATTCCACTCTTTCAATAAATTCAGTATTGTTAAACTTACATTCATTCATTATCCTCCCTTTATGAAATGAGCCTAAAGTTTTAATAATTCACACAAAAAACCTTTAACCTATCAAATAATGCAAAATACACTCATACATTTAATACAGCACTCACCAGGGAACAGATATCTAGCCACCAGCCACATATCAATGGAAACACGCCAATTTCTATGACAACCAATAACTTCACCTTGACAACCACATAACACAGACCAAACACTCGTGGAAACCTGTTGTAAACATAAAACATCATATTAACCTGCAACACCCAAATAAAAACATTAAGTCAACATGATCCTAGAATATGCTTTGATAGGTGGTTGTAGTAAAATATGTGAAATTTAAAAGTCTGGGCTTGATAATCTTTGCAACTCGCATTTATTTCATCGGCACATTATAAATTTCACTTGGATAATTTTCTGCATTTAATGACTCGGCAAGAAAATTATCTCAAGCCTTTGTAGGAGTAATTTTTAGGTACAGAATTGGGGAAATATGTCTTTATTTTTGATTGGAAAGGGTCTGTTTTAAGGAAAGAAGAAGCAAAAAATTGCAGCTAAATTAAGATTCAGGAGAGATGGGCTTGTTTCTTAACCCATTACTTCAAAGCATTTGCGAAAAATGACTGATTCATAAAGCAACTGTACAAGTTCAAATTGCTATGAAAGTATAACTAGATACCCCCCCACAAGTCTGCTTCGGAAATGAGGATGTTACTAGTAACAGAATACCTTGTAATAGAATTGAAACATAGAGTTATGGTTGTGGGCAATTAAAGATAATTGTGGTTCATGTATGTTGCTTTTCCTTTCAATGTGGTTGGCCATTGATGAAGTTTAATTGAATTACTCTGTAATAAGTCCAGAAAGACAAAGAAAAAGAACAAAGGGCAATAACTCTAAAAATACTGAATATAGAGTTATAGTTCTTGTGCACTGCACTTCCTCTTATTGTGCTTGACCATTGTATGAAGTTGTCAAAATGGAGTTATGGCTCTTGTGCACTGCACTTCCTTTTAATGTCCTTGACAACTGTATGAAGTTGTACTGAATTCCAAACAGTAGTTTTCAAGTTATAATCTGGACAAGGAAAAGTAACAAAGGGCAATAACTCTGTACTTAGTCAAGATGGAGTTATGGTTCTTGTGCACTGCACTTCCCCTTATTGTGCTTGACCATTGTATGAAGTTGTTTTTGAATTCCAACCAGTAGTTTTCAAGTCATGCTCTGGACAAGGAAAAGTAACAAAGGGCAGTAACTCTGTAATTAGTCAAGATGGAGTTATGGTTCTTATGCACTGCACTTCCTCTCAATGTGCTTGACCATTGTATGAAGTTATAATGAATTCCAACAATAAGTCTTCAAGTTATGGTCCGGACAAAAGAAAGCAATGGAAAAGTAACAAAGGGCAATAACTCTGTAATTAGTCAAGATGGAGTTATGGTTCTTGTGCACTGCACTTCCCCTTATTGTGCTTGGCCATTGTATGAAGTTGTTTTGAATTCCAACCAGTAGTTTTAAAGTCATGCTCTGGACAAGGAAAAGAAACAAAGGGCAGTAACTCTGTAATAAGTCAAAATGGAGTTATGGTTCTTGTGCACTGCACTTCCTCTCAATGTGCTGGACCATTGTATGAAGTTATAATGAATTGCAACAATTAGTCTTCAAGTTATGGTCCGGACAAAGAAAGCAATGGAAAAGTAATAAAGGGCAATAACTCTGTAATTACTTTAGATAGAGTTATGGTTCTTATGCACTGCACTTCCTCTCAATGTGCTTGACCATTGTATGTAGTTATATTGAATTCCAACCATTAGTCTTCAAGTTATGGTCCGGACAGAAAAAGAAGGCAATGGAAAAGCAACAAAGGGCAATAACTCTGTAATTACTTTAGATAGAGTTATGGTTCTTGTGCACTGCACTTCCCCTTATTGTATGTTTGACAATTGTATGAAGTTGTTTTGAATTCCAACCAGTAGTTTTCAAGTTATGCCACGGACAAGGAAAAGTAACAAAGGGCAATAACTCTGTAATTAGTCAAGATAGAGTTATGTTTCTTACGCACTGCACTCCTCTCAATGTGCTTGACCAGTGTATGTAGTTATATTGAATTCCAACCATTAGTCTTCAAGTTATGCTCCGGACAAGGAAAATGCAACAGACAAAAAAAAAGCAATGGAAAAAGCAACAAAGGGCAATAACTCTGTAATTACTTTAGATAGAGTTATGGTTCTTGTGCACTGCACTTCCCCTTATTGTGTTTGACAATTGTATGAAGTTGTTTTGAATTCCAACCAGTAGTTTTCAAGTTATGCCCCGGACAAGGAAAAAGTAACAAAGGGCAATAACTCTGTAATTAGTCAAGATAGAGTTATGGGTTCTTGTGCACTGCACTTCCTCTCAATGTGCTTGACCATTGTATGTAGTTATATTGAATTCCAACCATTAGTTTTCAAGTTATGCTCCGGACAAGGAAACGTCTGGACCGACCGACCGCCCGACCGACCAACCGACCGACCGACCGACCACCGGGTGACTCCTATATACCCCCCCAAACTTCGTTTTTGGGGGTATAAAAAATGCTTTCATACTAATCAAACTTGGCACAAATGTTTACTGGACCATAGACTTTGTAACAGTATGCTCAATCTTAAATTTCCTGTTACCATAGCAATGAGAGGACATCTCAAAATTGCCATAAATCACTATTTTGCGCTGATTTTTTTCCCATTAAAACTGATTTCAAAGTGCTGCAACTTCTGCGTTAAATCACGTATATAATTATAAGGTAAAAGGTTAAGATGTCTGCATCTCAACCCAGGAATTGTTGTTTTGACCTCTACTAGTGTCACAACCACGTTTCCTCACATATAACACCAATACTTATTAGATCCAGGTAGCAGGTAATCTCTAACACTTTCATCATTATCATGCCAACATAAATATGTTTAATGTTGAAACCAAAGTAAGAGTTATATAACTTACGGAATTATTGAAGAATCATTGACAACAAACCTTTTTAATCTGATCAAGGAACAGATGGCATACAAGAAAATCAGAGAGAATGCTATAACAACATAGCCAATCAATGTCGTTAGTAAACCCTCAAAATGTGATGCTTCAACCTGAAATAACAAATAACATCATACACTCACGATCTATTAAATGCATTTCCTTGTTGTTGTTTTTTTTCTTTTCATGCCTTTATAACAGTTTACAGGTTTTATGTCTAACTTTAACAGTCGTAATGTGTTTTTGTTTTGTTTTTTCCAATTGAACTGATGAGAGAAGAACTTGGGTAATTCAGGCACAACCAGCCACCACTGACCAACCAGCCTTATATACGCCAGATGGAATATGTTCTTCATATAAAAATATTCAACATAACTGGCAGTATTCAAATTCAACGATACTTGCAGTAATTATTTAAAGATGAAAGGCAAGTGAATCAGCCATGAAAGGCACTGTATATGGTTTATATAAAATAGATTATTTTTTCTTTATTCTAAAAAAGACAAACAGTGCACATTACACAATCTGCAATGCAGCAAAGGTAATTTTGTGACTATTGCCATAACCTTTTTTAGGGGAGTGGATGGTTGTAATTTGTCATTTTAAATTTTTTAGAATTTTTAAAAATATAAAAAATGTATTACCACATCTTCCATTTTCATTCCAATCATTGTAAAGTGACCAATATGATATGGACAAAATGCTGAAAACAAATGTACAACAAAGATATTTTTTTCAACATTCTGACAGAAAACAATATTTTTTATAATTTTTTTTATGAATAACCGAAAGCAAAACAAGAAGTCCAAGGTGTTTTCGCTGAGTGAAATATATAAAAAGTTCCTATACAATAAGCCATTATGACAATGATGACCATGATTTATATTAGCCGCGTCATGACAAAACCAACATAGTGAGTTTGCGACCAGCATGGATCCAGGATCCATGTTGTTCGCTTACAAACCCTATTACAAGTAGAGAAACTGATAGCGAACACCATGGATCCTGATCAGACTGCGCGGATGCTGGTCGCAAACCCATTATGTTGGTTTTGTCATGGCACAACTCATATTACATGTACTTTGTAGCAGTCCGCTAGGGAAATTGAATGCTACACACCAAACTTAAACCCTTAAAGTGACACCAGTTATAACAAATCTTAACTCCGGGGCTTCAATTAATGCAACTTACTAAAATCTTCAAACAATAACTGTACCAGTAGAGCCAACTTTTGACCCTCAAAGGTAACATTATTTAAAAATTTTAAAAGTACTAGACCATGCTATAAGATAAATATTTTACTTTGGACCCTATAGCATATGAGAGAAAGGAGTTTTTTTTAAATTTCTTTTCTATAATTGATTTTAAACCTATTGCTCAGCAGATTGGCTCTACTAAAAGTAGTACCTTAAGGTAATTCCTGTAAACTTCAGTCAAATTTTATTATAAAATTTTATGTAAAGAAAAGTGTGAAATGACAACCAATAACAGACAAACGGACACAAATCCACCACAACAGATCATATTTGATTTGAACACTTTGTGCTAAGGTGAACTAAAAATAAATTATTCTGAGAAACTTACCAAATACAAGTATAAATAATGTGTTAAGAGACACAACCCAGAATACATGTTCCTGCAAAATATATATTTCTCCATTTTGATATGTATTTAAACTATGTACAATATAATAATGTGGGTTGTTTTTTTATTTATTAATTTTATGGAATAATCTCTTTTCTTGGAATAATATACAAATTAAATAATACCTTCTTAAATTGATGACTGACAAAACAAGAGCTCCTAATAAACCAAAACTATTCTTTAATATAAATAATGAGACAAAGCTTTTCACTGGTGCATTCATAATTTTTACTCATTCATAAATTTTGAGCTCAGCCATAAAATTTCATTACATGAACATTTTAATTTTAAACACCCATATTATAAAAAAAAGCTACATTTACTTAGTTAATACTTCAGTTGAGGCCTATTGCTAAATAAATTGCCCCCAAAAACATCAAAGAATTAGGTAATGTACTTACAAGGAAAACAAGAGAGCCGTCTAATCCAAGAAGCTACAAAGACATAAAAATAAATTAATTAATACATATTACATACAGAAAATATTTCTCACATAAAAGTATTATATATTTTTGTATAGAATGTAAGCCTCACAATTCATCAACAATCTAGCTAAAAGTCAAATGACATTAACTTTCATCCCACCTAAATCAAACCCAAACAAAAGGTAGACGTCTCTGACAAGGCAGACTTAATACTTAACACATGAGATAAAATACCCAATGATGAATGGAGAAAATATTTGAGCCGTGTCACGACAAAACCAACATAATGGGTTTGCGACCAGCATGGATCCAGACCAGCCTGCGCATCCGCACAGTCTGATCAGGATCCATGCTGTTCGCTTTTAAACCTTTTAACAAGTAGAGAAACTGATAGCGAACAGCATGGATCCTGATCAGACTGCGCGTACGCGCAGGCTGGTCTGGATCCATGCTGGTCGCAAACCCATTATGTTGGTTTTGTCGTGACACAGCTCATTTATTTCTTTGCCTTAATCAAACCCTTTGATCATCTGTGGCGACAAAGGGTTGCCAATGTAACTTTTTGTCTTTATTGTGAAAACTGGCCTGTTTCTATACAGGTAGTTGCTATCTCTACAATGTAATAAATTAACAAATCAAATAATATTCACCCTCTCCCAGGTAAGTTCTTCAGCTGCCCTGTCCCATTCTATTGGATTCCAATTATTGTCATCTGAAATATACAAAATAACACATTAAATAAATCGCTAACATATATCTCAAGACCCTTAATAAGTTTGTTTTTTTGTTTTTCCAATCTAAGATAGCATCAATTACCATTTTACTTCAACCTTTTCCCCTGCCAACTTTGTGTGTAACAAACATATTCCTCTTGTAACTTGGAAATGTCTGTTATTTTACCAAGGATTTTGATATCAAAATGTTTTAATTAATCAGCCGGCAATGTTGAATCTGGTAAAACTGCATATATGTGCAAGAAATTATATTTATTATATACTTTGAAATGAAATATTGAGAAATATTGATGAAATAAAATGCGTATTTTCATTTTCCGTATTTTCACTGTAAAAATTTATTTTTCACTGCAGTTCCGTATTTTCACTGGTGTCTTGCCGGACTACTTTCTTTTAAATTCTGCCAGTACTCAAAATTTAAGGGAAAGTCTTGCAAATTTTAATGTCCAGAAAGAGAAAAATGTATATAATAAACAGAAAATTCAAGTTTTTTCTATAAATACATGATTTATTTTCATCTTGTGGCATGAAAATTACCATATTTCACTCGTGGCTATTGCCACTCATGAAATATTTATTTTCATACCACTTGATGAAAATAAATCATGTATTTATAGAAAAAACTTGAATATCCTCTATTTATTTATACCTTTTTTGTTGCATAATAATACAATAATGAATAATTTATAGTTTAAAGGCCTTGTACTTTATATCTCGGACCTAGGTGATTAAATTGATGCACATATAAACTTTAACTGGGCATTATTCTAAAAACAATGCACCCAAAATAGATAACATAAACTATTTCCAGAAATATCACAGATATATATTTACCTTGTGCAGCGTTATTTCCATTATCTGCACCTTCCTCTTCCACCTCTTCTTCACCCTCATTGGCTGCCTCAGCATTGTTATCTTCATTCTGATTGTTCTGATTGGCTGCTCCATCTCTAGCTCCGCCCCCTCCCAAACCAACAAGATTGTTTACAACACCGATATCCAAAGGATTCTGAAAAGACAAGACAATATTGAAATTCTAACTGATAAACTATATCAAAAATTTATTCTTCTTTTTTTTCCAGAATAAAATAACAAACGTTAGATGGATTATATATTATGTTGAGATGGTAACCAAATAAAGCAGAAAGCAAATTATCCATAAGTCTCCTTCAACCATTGAAGAATATAACAACTGACTTAACAATCTTCTTATTTAAATTCTTTATGAATATTCTAACTACATTGTAATTCCACAAAAAATTCAAACAACTTTTACAAAAGTTCCCATAGAAGTCACACTGGCTTGAAACATTCAAATGCAGCTTTTAACATGAAACCTGGAAACAGTTTATGTAAAATTAAATTTGATAAAGTTTCACAATGTCATTTTGGAAAAACTAAAAACATATGGATTTCCTATAAGAAATAGGAAGAAAAGTTATTTTAAGCTTCCGTCATCTCAAACCAAATATACAGAAAGAGGTTAATAGAAAGTACCATCAACAAAATATCCATCCATACATCAGAGGTCTTACAAAAACAGTTTGTAAAAGTGAAGAAACAACAGGAGGCAGAATAAACTTAGTAGAAAAAAAATTAAAATATTCAAAATTTTTAGAGAAAACTAGAACTGTTACTATCATGGCGTGAATACCCCCGCATACCACTTTGTCAGAATCAACAGTGGCCATTTAGAGCTCAAGGACAACCTCCCTGCCAAATCTGAGGTAACTAAGCCAGTGCATTGCTAAGTTATGTATTGTACATGCTTCAAATGTGAAAATGTCAAAATCAATACATTGCGGACAGGACATTCTTTAACAATTAAGAAGAAAAGCTTTTTTTTGTCAAGGTCCCTGTGACCTTGACCTTTGACCCAGTGACCTCAAAATCAATAGGGGTCACCTTATAGTCATGATCAACATCAATGCCAAATATGAAGACTGTGGGTCATACATTGGTGGACAAACTTTTTGAAGTCAAAGTCCCTATGACCTTGACCTTTGACCCAGTGACCTCAAAATCAAAAGGGGTCATCTACTAATCATGATCAACATCCACGCCAAAAATGAAGACTTTGGGTCCAAAGGAATCTTAAGTTATTGGGCAGACAAACTTTTTGAAGTCAAAGTCCCTGTGACCTTGACCTTTGACCAGGTGACCTCAAAATCAATAGGGGTCATCTACTAATCATGACCAACCTCCATTCCAAATATGAAGACTGTGGGTCAAAGGAATCTTAAGTTATTGGGCGGACAAGCTTTTTGGAGTCAAGGCCCCTGTGACCTTGCCCTTTGACCTGGGGACCTCAAAATCAATAGGGGTCATCTACTAATCATGACTAACCTCCATGCCAAATATGAAGACTATGGGTCAAAGGAATCTTAAGTTATAGGGTGGACAAGCTTTTTGAAGTCAAGGCCCCTGTGACCTTGACCTTTGACCTGGTGACCTCAAAATCAATAGGGGTCATCTACTAATCATGACTAACCTCCATGCCAAATATGAAGACTGTGGGTCAAAGGAATCTTAAGTTATTGGGCGGACAAGCTTTTTTGAAGTCAAGGCCCCTGTGACCTTGACCTTTGACCTGGTGACCTCAAAATCAATAGGGGTCATCTACTAATCATGACTAACCTCCATGCCAAATATGACGACTGTAGGTCAAAGGAATCTTAAGTTATTGGGCGGACAAGCTTTTTGAAGTCAAGGCCCCTGTGACCTTGACCTTTGACCTGGTGACCTCAAAATCAATAGGGGTCATCTACTAATCATGACTAACCTCCATGCCAAATATGACGACTGTAGGTCAAAGGAATCTTAAGTTATTGGGCGGACAAGCTTTTTGAAGTCAAGGCCCCTGTGACCTTGACCTTTGACCTAGTGACCTCAAAATCAATAGGGGTCATCTACTAATCATGACTAACCTCCATGCCAAATATGAAGACTGTGGGTCAAAGGAATCTTAAGTTATTGGGCGGACAAGCTTTTTGAAGTCAAGGCCCCTGTGACCTTGACCTTTGACCTGGTGACCTCAAAATCAATAGGGGTCATCTACTAATCATGACTAACCTCCATGCCAAATATGACGACTGTAGGTCAAAGGAATCTTAAGTTATTGGCGGACAAGCTTTTTGAAGTCAAGGCCCCTGTGACCTTGACCTTTGACCTGGTGACCTCAAAATCAATAGGGGTCATCTACTAATCATGACTAACCTCCATGCCAAATATGACGACTGTAGGTCAAAGGAATCTTAAGTTATTGGGCGGACAAGCTTTTTGAAGTCAAGGCCCCTGTGACCTTGACCTTTGACCTAGTGACCTCAAAATCAATAGGGGTCATCTACTAATCATGACTAACCTCCATGCCAAATATGACGACTGTAGGTCAAAGGAATCTTAAGTTATTGGGCGGACAAGCTTTTTGAAGTCAAGGCCCCTGTGACCTTGACCTTTGACCTAGTGACCTCAAAATCAATAGGGGTCATCTACTAATCATGACTAACCTCCATGCCAAATATGAAGACTAAGGGTCAAAGGAATCTTAAGTTATTGGGCGGACAAGAAAAAACCGACGGACAGCCGGACGGATGTTCTCACAGGACAGTAATTATGTGGCTACTCTATTGTTCTCTCTATTGTTCTTTTTAGCCACGCAAAAGAAAATACGGACGGACGGCCGGACGGACGGACGGACAAGCTGATTCCAGTATACCCCCCCCCTACAACTTTGTTGTGCGGGGGTATAAAAAACAACAACAAACAACTTAGAAAACTGTCTTGATATCCAAAATGATAAAATTGTAATGCCAATGTGACTTCAATACATACTACGGAATTAAATACAAGTTATTTACCCTTTGTTGTACACCAGGCACGTCCTGTTCTAACCAATCGGGCCCTCCTCCATGCAGGATCTGTTCACGTAGCCACACCAAGCTGATAAATGCACATAATGTACATGCCACAACAAAACAACCATGGAAACAATCTGACGCAATATTTTCACTGAAAATAGAACAGTTAATTCTTTATAACAACTCTTTTTAATACAACAGTAATACTTAAAACTACTGTGTTTAGGAAGTGGTAAAGATAAAGTGTTAATTTTTTCTTAAAGTTTTGTGGTATTTATTTTTTAATTTCCATATACAACTTTTTGATGTTGGAATTTTGATAGTGAAATCCTTCATGGTGTAAATGAGGATTTTTTTAAATTTAATATACAGAAAAACTCAATTACATAAATTCAGAGTAGAAATGTTTGTTTTGTTGGGTTGTAATTCATGCCAACAGTAAATGTTATTTGATAACTTTCAAACTATACTGGTGGAGGAACACCTCATGTGCCACTTCCTGCACCATCTTAGGGACTAGCGGGCACCTGGGGGAATGGACCTTACAAATATAGATGGATAGCTTCCTCACGGCTTCTATGAAGTTTAAAAATATGGAAGTCAGAGACTGCAAAATGTCTGACATTAAAAGTCATATGAAATAGGTAAAGAAGAAAAAGCGTTATATTTTGGAAGTCACAAGTCAAAATCAAGGTGTAAGTGACTCCCAAACTTCCATTAATGGAAACCCTGGGCCTTCCTAACATAAAAATCTGTAAATTTAGCACAGTCTCAAGTGGAAAGTGATTGATACCATTTAGCCATGGACAGACCCATGTTTTGATAGTGTATTAATGTTTTAAATCTATACTTACGTAGATAACATATCAAGTGGTAATGTTAATAATGAGCTAACAGATCCAGTAAACAGACATCTGTAAATACGACCTAGAAATAAAACACGTATGTAAGGTACATTTCATATTTGTATTAAATTGTATATACTACAACATCATGCACATTATCGAATACTACGCAATCATTTTTTTTTTCACATAAAATTCTCAAATTTGCAAAAACATGCATTAAAGATTATAAATACATGTATGTAATAGAGAAGAAATATATACTGCATTTATAAGACGATTTAAAAGAGAATGGTAAAATATTTTTTTAAATTTTTATGAGAGGATTTTTAATTATCATAATTTCTGTAGTAATAGATGTTAGATAATGTATAAATTGTGTCAAGTTTGATGCTTCTGGAAGTTATTCCAGGCTCGAGCAAGTGCTCTAATAATCCTTATTATGTACAACAAGTACACATCCATCAACTTACAAGCTGTTAATGGTACAACACCAAGCCAGGCAAACGTGACGAGTGTATAATGGAACCAATATCTGACGGCTTTTCCTACACTACCTAACAACCCACTCACTATATCCTTTATAGGTAACCTCTTTGGCATATCTGGTGAGTAAACTGTAACATAAAACAAACAATATTTATATCTTTGATATTTTATTCGAACAAACAAGGGCTGTTGATAAGCCAGCATGCTCACCTTTTCTTAGTGCTTGATAGTAAAACAAGAGCTTGGATAATGTAAAAATTTTAAAAAGCGCCATTATTCTGCAAAAATCCATGTTAGAGTTATGGGCTTTGGATAGTGACCTTTTATTGTGCTCTCAAATGTAAAGTTCCATTCCTTTCAGTAGTTTTGGAGGTACCATCTTGCATGCAAACAAGAGCTGTCAGTAGGACAGTACGCTCGACTATTCTAATTGCTTGATAGTAAAAGAGTTCACAAAAAGGCCATTTTTTCCTTCTCAAATCCATGTTATAGGCCTTGGTGTGAATCCTATTATGCTCACAGAAAAGCGTATAAAATTCAACTTGTTTCAAAGCAAGATGTCAATGAAATAAGAAAATATATGAGGTGGTACGCACACTTTAATGTAAATTGTAAGTTGAAAAAGGGGCATAATTCTGTCCAAATGCTTGATAGAGTTACCCTCTCCTGTCTACTGGTTTGGGGCATGATGGTGAACAAGTGTGCAAAGTTTCAAACCAATATACCAATGGACTATGAAAATATCTGAGGTGTTACAAAAACTTTAATGTAAATTCTAAGTTGAAAAAGGGGCATAATTCTGTCAAAATGCTTGATAAAATTACCTCCTCCTGTCTACAGATTGGGGTGATGATGTTGAACAAGAGTTCAAAATTTCAAAGCCATATGTAAATGCACTTTGAAAATATTTGAGGTGTTACAAAAACTTTAACATAAGAGGTTACTCCGACACCTACAACGACGCTGACACTCAGGTGACTAGTATAGCTCTACTTATTTCTATCAAATAGTCGAGCTAAAAAGTAATGAAAACTTACTTGGTGTAAAAGCAAACCGATGTTTGCAAAGTTCGCAAAACTCCTTTCTGCTGTATTTTAACCATTGTACCAGACTGAAGATAGAAAATATATAACTAAATATTGATAACATCAATGATACACATTTTTGTTTTGAACCGATATAACCAGCATTTACCAGTAATTATTACTGTTTGACATGGAATAAAAACAGCCAAACACCTTACTCATTAGATAAACAGCTGAACCAGGATTCCAAAACCCTTCCACTGCTAAATTTGCAACTACATGTACAATGTGTATAATGAACATGCCTTTCTTTAGAAACTTCTCATTTTATGGGAATACAATTTTTTATAAATTAATTATCAAAATATTAAATCTGGCATAATGGCATAGGGTGTGCTCAGACTTCATTGGCATGCAAGTTGGCCTTGACACATGCTTGCTTCATTGTAGCTTGCACTCAAGAGATTGAAGTTTGAACTACTGTATTGACTTGAACTCAGGACACAAGGATTGGCCTTACAGTTGGCCAGCTACTATACTGGTCATCTTGGCAAATTATTAACAACGCTAAGAAAATCATGTAATTCTTACCAGTCTTGATGTATAAATTTGATACTGCCTGTGCAGACACATGGATGATACAGGGGTTTATCAGACGTCCCCTCACATCTGCACACACGACATATATCTGAAAATATAAATGGTATAAAATAAATATATATCATATAATGATGAAAACTATAATTTCTTTAAATAATGTCCACATGCACTTGCCAGCTAAATTTTGACAGTTACTCTATTGAGCAGTAAAAATAGCATACAGGGTAAATATATATAGTACTTACACTTTAAACCCAAGTATTAATAGGTTCAAAGAAGCAGAACACGAAAGTCATCTAAGTAAAAAGGCTATGCCTACATGTTTATGAGCATTTTGCATGCTTTATAAATTTTCATATAAAATTTTTGCATGAATCTGCAGGTGTGTTGCTTTAAGTTTTAGAAACACTTTGGTACATTTTGTACATACCATATAAAAGCTTTTAATTAAACAATACATAAATACATGTTATAGTTATTACTATTCTAACACATAATTTATATATTAATATGAGAATACGAAACATTTTTACCTTGGGAAGTATCTAAATACAAATCCCCAGCCATATCATGTGTGATACATTTTCTTTTATTAAATAATTTGTTTGTATCCTTTTATTTAATGTGTCTTTTCATTTAATACATTTAATAAATCTTTTCATTTAATGTATCCTTTCATTTAATGTACCCTTTTCCTTTAATGTATCCTTTCATTTAATTTAAGTCCTCCTGTTTCACTATCACATTAAATTTTTCACAAAATTTCAAAGGTTTATTATTATATTGATCAACATTCAATATAGAAAAACCTACTTTTTAAAGCTATGTTACAAAATTCAATTCATGCTCCAACGTTCAAATTCACAAAATGAAACAACTCTATTCAGCCTTTCAAATTAGCACACATTACTTTTATGTTAATTTATATCAAGGTCCAGTTATCAGACATTCTTATTGTAACATCTCACTATTTTCACATACAACACTTTTACAAGGAATTCCTTCACTCACACTACTAATGAAAATCAATAAGGATTACTTAATCTTTATTCCTGCCCAGCTGATTTAAAAGATTATTTACAAATTTTTGAACTGGTGGAAAAAGTTCATAACTAATTTTACACCTGAATAGTCTCCCTTCAAGAAGTTGGGGAAGTCTATCTATGCTGTAAACTGGTCAATATTTGACACCGTCCAATTTGGTGAATAAACTAGATCTATGTAATATTTCATACTTTGAGGTTTCAATGTATGACTATCAAATCAGTAATAAATGAGATATAAATAATCATTATGTAAGACGCTGCATACAAATGCATAAAAAGTGTCAGTATTAAGATAACACCTGAGTGAGTAGCAGGGCTTTTTCCCCCACTTCTATAGCAGGGGTCATTTAAGTCCTGTTTTTCCCTCAATAAAATTCTTTAAAATAATGCAGTTTTCACCTAAAATTCAAATGATTTAATAACATCAAGAAAATTCTTTAAAATAATGCAGTTTTCAACTAAAACATCAAGTTTTCCTTCCCTTTTTGCAAAGCCATGGTGTTTATTCTCCCAAAAGTTGGATAGCTCCACTGCTCTTTTAATAGTTGGAAGTTTATTCACTAATTATGACACTAATTTTTTCCAAACTTTCCCTCAAATTTTTAAAAAATTCCCTCAAATTCTCAAAAAGTCACAAATCACAATTAAAACAAAATTCAGTTTTTTATACATGCACATTGATGTGACTTTAAAAATCATTTTGTAACAAATTAAATTTCATTTTTAATAAAAATCAACAAATATTAACATATCAATTTTTTTTCGACACCTAAAATTTGTACATTGTAAGACACTGAAAATCCTTTGCCACTTAAAACCTGACTTTATAGTAGAAACATAAGGATTAGGGATTATCAAACATGGTAAGGCAAAAAGTGACACCCAGCCAGGAGCAATATAATCTTTTCATTAATATTTCAATCTGTTTTCAATACATTTGGTACTTTAAACACTTCATGTAGCTGCAAGTTTACAAACATATAAAAAGAAAAACACTTTTAATACCACTTTTATGCGACAGATTTGAATACATTTATAACATACTTTTATATAGAGACCACATTAGTTTAATGTATAAACAAGAAATTGTTGAACTCAGTGTTTTGAAAGGAAAAATCAAAATAAAGCAGTGTGTTTCATTTTAAAATAAATTTATAACAAATAAAGATCACATTTATGATATAATGCATTAACAAGGAATAATTCAACCCTGGTTTTAAAAGTGATTTTTTAAAATTTCCCTTCAGCAGTGTGTTTGGATATTAACAAAATAATGGTAAATTTTATTTATTGCTTTTATCTTATTGTAGTAAATTTTTAATAGTAGACTTAATGCATTTTACCAACAACAAAAGATTGAAACTTAAGGTATTAAGTTGTTTTTTTTTATTTGAAAATTGTTTGGTACTTTTTGAATAATTAGAAAAAAATAGTACATTTTATTATGCTTTAGTAATGGAAAAATGATAATTTATTAATAAATTTTCTTGATTTATACTTGTGTTCAAAGTGGTTGCTTTTCACTATTTACATGTAAATATAATATTAATGATATATCTCTTACTGTTACATATACATTTAATTAAATGTAATAATGTATGTAACTTTACTTATATGTAAATATAAATGTAATAATACACATCACTTGAGTTAAATCAAGAAAATATGGTGGTTTTTATTATTATCATTAAATTATCCATTATAATTTTTTAACATATCTAAGCAGTAAGCAGTAGGTAATTTTATTCAACATTAAATTATTAATCTGGGCTTCATTCTTGTATTTATTCAATTTTTTCAATTTTTTTCTTAGATGTGCATATACATGTACATGTACTATAAATCAATCCTGTATATTTGCCCTTTTAATTAGTTATGAAATTTTGATTTAGTACATGGATATTCAATAAAATTAATGATACTGGGTAATGAATATTTTGTTAGCATTACAATGTACATGTGTAATTAATTTTATTTTATGAAACATCGTTTTAACATGTGAAATTTTATAGCTGTAGCTGTAAATACAAGTATGTGATTCACTGGGCCTAAAAAATCTAGTCAACTGTTATTCAAATTTGAAATCTACATCTTAAACTAATGTTGTATTTTAAATTTTAATGCTGTAGCTCTGCTTAAAACAAAACAAAGCTTTAATATCTAGATTTAAATTCTGTAGAGATCTGAAACAACATGCATATTGTGATATTGACAATTTAATGCTAGCTTTACTTGTAAAATTATAGCTTTACTTGACGTCGACGACGTCACTTGGAGACAACGTCGTCTTTGTCTTATGACGTTATGTATTCAGATCAGTTGAATAAACTTTATAATCATGAATTTAGAGTTGATTAGTAGAAGACATAACACATATGGTACAAATTTTATAGCATTACACATAACTGTATTGAGCAATTTACTTTTGTATTAATTAATATAATATGCATGTAAATACTGTATAATACGGTGTAGTATTGATTATCCTTAATTGCTATGTTTACATTGACAAATTAATTCAATTACAGGGTCATTATGTCCAATGAAACTGCATAGTCTGCACATACACTGCCCTCCAAAAATTCCTTCACACACCTTTTTTTCACTGTTTTGCCTAAGTATTTTTATTTGGAAATCAGTACAGATGCTTCAGTGGTTAAAATTATAATAATTTACATATTATCTCCCTTTTTAAGAATAATTTAACTACTATAGTAAGTAAAACAGTAAGATGGGTCAGAATATTAAGTATTTTCTTAGGGTGGTCAAAATCATTGCAAAGAGTATCTCTTCCATAAAACATTCATCCAGTTTGACATATTTTCATAACCTTAATGAAATAACATTTTATTATTTGGATATAAGAGAACGTAAATTAAAGATTTCAACATTGTCATCATGGTAGCTTTAACTCAAGAACAGCGGGTCACCATCAAGGTTTTACGTGATCAAGGCGTCAATATCAAAGACATTGCAGACCAAATTGGGTGCTCAAGGTAAGTTTTTTTTCTCTCACTCCATTTTATTGCCTCACTTCAAAGTAATTTCTTTTGCTGTGAAATCTTAGAAATGAGATTTGTTTGAATGTTTGTCTTGGTCTTACTTAGATTTCTTTTATTTTCTTGCAGGCATTCTGTGTATGCTGCTCTGACAAGGTACAACAACCAAGGTAGCCATGCTGATCTGCCCAGATCTGGTAGACCCAGATTGTCCAATGCTCGTGATGACCGCCGTCTTATTCGAGTCACTGCAGAACAGGAGGCTGACGGTTCCGGATCTTACAGCATCATGGAACCATGCTGGTGTAGCTTCCTCTACTTTAACTGTCCGTAGGCGACTGAAAAATGTTGGTTTGACTGGACATGTTGCCCAGAAAAAGCCTATGCTGACCCAGAGGCACAGAAATCTGAGATTAACATTCGCCAGAGAGCATTCGACGTGGACACGGGTTGATTGGTCGGCAGTTTTGTGGACTGATGAGTCAAGGTTCACAATGTTTCATAGTGATGGACCAACCTTCGTCAGGAGGCGGCATGGTGAGCAGCCTCGAGATGATTGTGTGGAGCCAACTTTCATATTTGGTGGAGGGGGGATCATGATGTGGGGCGCCATGTCGGATCGCGGGACTGCATTCCTCACAAGAGTTACTGGTAACTTAAATGCCGTTGGATACATTGATATTCTTGGCAATAGTGCTGTGCCATCAGCCCACTACTTGGGCTATGGAGGTAATTTCTGGCTCCAGGATGATGGCGCACCTTGTCATAGGGCAAGGATTGTCACAGAATGGAAGAATACCAATGGAATTCGAAGTTTAGTGTGGCCTCCTCAGTCTCCAGACTTGAACCCGATTGAAAATCTTTGGTGGGACATCAAGAAAGCTCTTAAAACAAGACGAAGTGCAAATCTTAACCAACTGGATATGAATGTAAGGCAGTGTTGGGAGGAAAATGCAGTGGAACGTTGTGAGAGACTAGTGAATAGCATGCCTAGGCGTGTTCAGGCTGTCTTAGCTGCTAATGGTGGCTACACTAAATATTGA